AGGCCTCCTGCCTCAGCCCAGCTCCGCAGTGCCAAAGGAGGCTCGAGCAGAGCAAAACGCCCTTACAGCACCCCACGGCGCCCGCCAGCCCCCAGGAGATCCATTCCTCCTGGTGCCACCGAGTCAGCTCAGCCAGAGCCGCCCTGCAGCGTGGATCCAGCCTGAGAGCATCCTGGTTTTCTGGGATTTACAGGAAAGCAGCCCTGGGAAGTTCTGCATGAGGAGGATTTGGAGATGAGGAAGAGCAGAAATGCTCCCCTTCCATGGACACAACCGTTCTGCTCCCACTTCTCCCTCAGCTCCTGCCCGTTGCCAGCTTTGTCTCCTCCACAGACACTGCCCAGCCAGCTCCAAGGCCTTCTCCAGTGCATCCTGACATTCCCGAGCTCCTGAGACCTTCTCGGCCCTGCCCTGTGCTCCAGACCCTCTGAGAGGTCTCTGAGGGGCACAGAGGAGGTTTAAGGTTGCAAGAAGAGCTCAGGTTCCTCACTCTCCGCTCAGAGATCCCCCAAAGTGTCTCCAGCAGGCGCTGGTGATGGGCTGAGCTCCTCCAACCCTTGGCCAGACCACAGGAGCCAAAAATTTGTGCTGTCCCACCACGGAGCTCAGGCTGAGGCTGCACTTAGAGCTGGCCTGCCCCACGCAAACCAGCTGCAGCTCTGCAGGGAGCTGCACCAGGAATGCTGGCGAGGCCTGGCACGGCGGCTGGGCGCAAACAGCTCCAGCTCCCAAATTTCATCCTAACAACCAAACAAAGCATTCCCAGAATAAATGGAATAAGGGACGCGGGGATGAAGAGCCCGACTTCCCGCAGAGGACACTGATGCCCCCACACCTGTGTGACATGGAGGAACCACAGAATTCCCTGTTGGTCGCCCTCATCCCTCAGACACTGCCCAAGCAATATTTTTCTGCATTGGAAGTTGCCAGCGCGGGTATTATTTATAAAACCTCAATGGGAATACATCTGCACGGAATAACTGACACCGTGTTCCCTGCGTGGCATATGCAGGCTGAAAATAAACATTGGTTCTATATGTTCACTGCTCCAGCAGAGCGTCCAAGCAGCAGGAAATGCATGAAACATGGGGAAGAATGGGAGCGCGGCAGTGGGAGGGAGCATGGAATTGCTTGGAGAGCAGAGAGGCGGCCCCGGGAGTTAAAATACACAGCAGGCAAAGAGACGAGAGGAGCCAAGAGAGCTGAAAAAAATGGCACAAGAGACGAGAGAGGCAGCTGGGGGAGTTAAAACATGCAGATGGAGAGATGGCTGGGAGAGAGGAAAGACCTGGATCCGAGCGGAGAGATGGCGGCCGGGAGCTGGCCACTTAAAATAAACTTTGGGAGCAGCGAGGTGCAGAGGAGCTGGGGAGAATTCCTGGGATCTGGAGCCCTGCTGGGGGCAGGGGCTGGGTCCTGGAGGGGTGGGAGTCCCACCCAGCTGAGCACCATCACCCACCTGCACCTGGGATCACACCGGGCATGGGAACCATCCTCTCCGTCCCATATCCCAAATTCAAACTACTCAGAGGGGTCACTCCCTTCCTTCCCACAATCCCAAATGCAAATCCATTGGAGGAATTCTTCCTTCCTTTCCTTCCCTTCCTTCCTTCCTTCCTTCCTTCCTTCCTTCCTTCCTCCTTTCCTTTCCTTTCCTTTCCTTTCCTTTCCTTTCCTTTCCTTTCCTTTCCTTTCCTTTCCTTTCCTTTCCTTTCCTTTCCTTTCCTTTCCTTNCTTTCCTTTCCTTTCCTTTCCTTTCCTTTCCTTTCCTTTCCTTTCCTTTCCTTTCCTTTCCTTTCCTTTCCTTTCCTTTCCTTTCCTTTCCTTTCTTCTTTCCTTCCTTCCTTCCCCACTTTCCCAAATTCAAAATACTTGGAGGAGTCACTCCCTTCCCCACAATCCCAAATGCAACTCCATTGGAAGAATCATCCCCTCCTTCCCACAATCCCAAATGCAAATCCATTGGAGCATCCAGATTGTGGCTCCTGATCCCAGAGCGACACCTTCATCCTTCCCATTTGCAGCCCCTGTAGGGATTTCTATAAATAAATGGATAATGCCTGCCTGGATCTCACCATTAAGGCACCCTCCTCAAGCTCAAATCCTGCTACATTTATAAAGTTACACTTTCCCCAGATGCTCCAAAGGTTTGGTTTTTTTCCCCAAAATGAGCTTCCAGCTCTGCCTGAGCCCTCGAGGAAGCAGTTTTGAGATCTGGGAGTGAACTTCAGATCCCCCAGGCAGGGACAGGGACGTTCCCGTGTCCCAGGGCTGCTCCAGAGCTGCCACCACCTCCAGCAGCGTGGCCCAGCCACACCTCACTCCCCATCCCTGCTGCTTCTCACTGCCAGCCTCCCAGGAATCCGAGGATGTCTGATGGAAAACGAAGCAGGCACAGAGCTCCGGGCAGAATTCAGGCAGGCAAAAGCAGAGCCCGGATATTTTTATACCCACGGAGTTTTGTGGCAGTGAGAAAGAAAAATTTTCTCTCACAAACGTGAATTAAAGCTTTCAATAAGTTAAAATGATGTTTTTTTGTTTTTTTTTTTTTTTTTTTTTATTGAAATTTTTTTTTTTTTTTTTTTTTTTTTTTTTTTTTTGAGGGCAATCTCCTCTAAGTTCGCAGATAAAATCAGTTTTAGCAGGGCCTGCACTGAGCACAGGTGCATTCAGCAAAACTCGCATCAACCCGAGGATTTATGATGCCCCCGAGGACAAAGAAATGATTTATTGGTTTTATTTTGCTGCAAAGGATGGAGCAAATTTCACCATCAGGTTTTTTTTCCCCAGGTGCCAATCCAGTTTTGCTGACAGGTTTACTTCAGCTTGGAGATGACCCAGGATGGGCCCTCAGTGTGTCCTGCTGGAGACAATAATTTATTAATTTAGAGAGGAGAAATTTTCTACAAATTTCTCCAAATTTTTTTTTTCACATAAAGGATTTTATCTGTGGATACCCAGCAATAAAATCATTTCAAGCAATAAAATAATTTGTCCTGGATGTTGATTTTTGTTGGATGGTTAGATGGGGACCAGTTCAACCAGTGGGAGCACAGAAAACCACCTCAGTGCAAAGCCTCAGTTCTACACACCACTTGGAGTAAGCCCTGAGTTAATTACTCCAGAGTAAGGCACAACCACTCCCAAGCACATCCCCAGCAGATCCTGCAGGTAAATCCTGGCTCGGAGACCGTGTGGGTGACAAAGGACTCGGAGCAGGGAAGAGGCTGCAGAGATTTTGTCCAGAAGGAGAATTAAATAAAAGCCAAATGTTTTGCACAAAATTAAGGGGGCTGGAATCTGTTCCTCCTTGGAGTTAGATGGTCTTTAAGGTGTCTTCCTACCCAAACAATTCCATGATTCCATGATAATGAACACCAGCCAAGCCCTTTTAATCTTTAATTAAACTCAGGGACAGTTTTCCACTGAATTCAGGGGATTTTGTCTCACCCTGACCTTCCACGAGGGGTTATTCGAACTGCTGGGCTGCCAGGGATGAGTTAAAATAATCACCTCAATATAAAACTTCAACAAGGCGGACGTTGCCCCTAAATGATGGGACATGGAGATGTAATAATAAAAAAAATAAAAAATCTGTTTGGTGGATGAAATGTGAGGGGGGACCTTGTGGCTCTGCACAGCTCCTGCCAGGAGGGGACAGCCGGGGGGTCGGGCTGGGAGCAGGGACAGGGACAGGACGCAGGGAATGGGATGGATTTGGGGAGAATTCCTTCATGGAAAGGGTTGTTCAGCATTGGAATGGGCTGCTCGGGGCAGGGCTGGAGTCCCCATCCCTGGGGGGGTTTCAAAGCCTGTGGGAAATGGATTTATAGAAAATTCCCAAAGCCTGTGGGAAATGGATTTATAGAAAATTCCCAAAGCCTCACAGGGGGCTCACACGGTGTACATCTATGTGCAAACCTTGAGATAAGAAATGCTGACTCACAAATGCCATGGAGTAAGAGAGAAATTGTTGAGGGAGAAATTAAACTAGAAAGAAGTTTCAAAAGATAACCTTACAAAAAAGACTAGATGCTCTAGAGAAATAGAAATATGGAAGATACATTGTAGTAAAACCCACAAAGGGTAAATCCAAATAATGTTTTAAAAACATTTACAACACAGTGGAGCTAAAACTAATAAGCCAAGAAACACTTACAGTGTATTATAAATAAGAAATAGCTTCTGATTGGAATAAGATAACTTATCTGTATTTTCTCACCCTTCACATGAGACTAAAAATACAATAAAAGCTTTTAAAACCCCATCTCTAAACCAGAATAAAACATAATCCAACAAAAGCCCTGTGGATGTGACCCTTGGGGACATGGGACAGTGGTGGCAGTGCCGGGGATGGTCGGACTCGATGACCTTGGAGGACCTTTCCAACCATTCCATGATTCCATTAAATGGTTGGACTCGATGACCTTGGAGGACCTTTCCAACCATTCCATGATTCCATTAAATGGTTGGACTCAATGACCTTGGAGGACCTTTCCAACCATTCCATGATTCCA